GACTCTACAGAGAAGCAGGCAGAAAGATGCTTGTGTGAGTGGGGTGTTTTAAATGCAGAACAGGTACCAACAAGGACTTATAAACTTTCTTCCACTAATGTTGTATGGTGAACTCCTGCTATTGAGCCCTGCTGCTGCTTAGTGGGGTGATATATGTAGTTCTCATACACGTGAATAAAGTATTCCAGATGTCCTTGAAATAATGCAAATTGCTACACATAATCTTAGGAAGTAGCATAGCTTTTTCATCACATCTCTTCATTTAAAGTGGGGTGGGGAGGGAAAGTGTGCCCCAAGTTGTTAGACTACAACTCCCATCAGTCCTAGTTGGCATGGCCAACAGTCAGGGATGATGGGAGCTGCAGTCTAACAACATTCAAGGCAGGATTGCAGGTTCCCCATACTGGCACGAGTAGATAAATAGCTTCTGCTGTGGTGGGAAGGTAAACAGCTTTTCCATGCACTCTGGCTTCAGTTATGGTGTTCCATTGTGCCAGAAGTGGTTTAGTCATGCTGCCAACAAATGCCGGCTTCCTTGACCTGAAAGTGCAGATGAGTGCCGCACCCCAAAGTCATATTTGACTGGACTTAACTAACCAGGAGTCCTTTATCTTTTACCTTTACCTGTACCCAACATAAATCTATCTAATCTATCTATCTATCTATCTATCTATGAAATAGAAACTTTGAAACAGCACGCGCGCACACACACAAACACACACGAAATAGAAACTTTAAAACAGCACACAATTCTTAAAAGGCACTAAACAGTAAAGCTGCCTCATTTCAACTTAAAGGTGGTGGTAGGGAAACTAAACACCTTTTTTCGCAATATGATTATCCACCTGAGAAATACTCATCACCTCTATTGCTTAGTTCTTGAGCATGGCAATTGCTCTTTGAGGTGATAAAACAGAAGAGAAGATGCATTCTCTCTGTAAACATCCTATAGCTATAAACAACCTCCTAGTCTACAGCTGACACAACAGCAAAAAGAAGATAGTGATCAAAGGTAACATTTATCGAAGATGAAGTTTCCACTAGGCATCATCTGCCAACTGGCAACACCTTTATCTTTGAGGACTTATTTTTCAGCCATCTATTTGTATCCATGACCATTTTCAGAGTGACACTAGAACAGCCTGGAGGCTTCTTCCACTGAATCTCTGCCAAAGCCTGCTAAAGTTGGGTGTCATATGTAACAGGAGTGATAATTCAAGAAAAGATAATAAACTGTGACAACTACTGTCAGCAGTTGTACAATAAGCAACCGTCAAGCATTATACCTGAGGGGTCATGAGAACTGAGTTGAAATATAAACAGCCACCTTATTTTTTGGGTACTGTAAGAATTAAATATGAGAAAATATGCGACAAAACCCCTCAGTTTTGACTCTCTAGAATATGGGACAACACTGTGATCTACTAGTAGGATACAGCCCCACTGGTGTGAATCAGACTGCATTACTAAGCCGTAAGGTACTAGATTCTCTGTCAGGCCTTTCCAGAATGAAAACACCTGACTGTGACTGTAATAATAATATTTCCCACATGCCATGGCTTTAGTAAGGTATAATGCTTACAAAAATATATGATCTTGTCACACTTTTCTTCTATCCTCTTAGATCTCTTTGTTCTTCTTTTGCTTTCCAAGCTTCTCCTTCACACATTGCTTTGGCTTCCTGAAATTCTCCATTCCACTTCACTGCAATGCTCTTTCTTTCCCCTCAGGTGAGTGTGTCTTATATTATTTATTATGAGTAAGTGCCAGGTGCATTCTCTTAAAGTGACACTCACATGTTGTAGTATCTAGCACTGCGCCTTCAAAGCACAGATCCAACTGGATCCACACTTCCAAAAGGCACCCCTTTTTGGTATGTTGCATGGATGAATATCTGCAGTGTGTGTGAGAGAGATGCTTCACCCTATCTCCATGCCACACAGCTTCTCTCTTATTAAAAATAGAAGGAAGCAGTGCTGGGTGGTGAGGAACTTAATGGAGAGAAGATGAGTGGTGTCTTTGGCCCTGCCCACTACTCTCAGTGGCCTACCACCATTGTTTTAAGGTGGACTTCTAACTTTCCCCCTTCAAAATTACTGATTTTTGCTTTCTGTCTCAAATTCTTTTCATTTGCGGGCTCAACATTTTAAGTGGGGTAAGATGTTTGTGGTCAACTTCTGTAGAAGTGATAGGTTTCAAGAGTCTTCTTCCCATTCTTCCTCAGGCGCATGTGTCCAGCAGGAATTCTCAAATGCAAGGGTTACTGCAGTGACTGTAGAATCCATCCATTGCAGCTGCTAGTAGAAACATGCCCTTGAAGATGGATTTCACCCCAAAACATGGCAGGCCTGGAATGAACCATATTTCTAGCACCTAAAGTTTGTTCTTCTCTTTTGCCTGTCAGTTGTGCCGTCTCCGCCTTATGCTGTTGTTGTTTCTTTTCTTCCAATTACCAACTCTAGATGAATTATAAGTGCGTCAAGATTTGTCTTCTGATCTTGTCTGGAAGATCATTAGCATTTAGGTACATCCATCATATATATATATATATATATATATATATATATATATATATATATATATGAAAGAAGCAGCTATTTATATATGATAAGGAGAACTCTTGTGTCATACACTTTTGACAACTTCTGTAAAGACACATCAAGAATGGAACTTGGCTCATATGATGATAAACTCTGCCGATCATTCAACACACCATATATGAATTTCTAAAATAGGTGGGGGAATGAAAGAAAGTGAAACAGGGCTGGTGGACGGTCACAAACATCACATCATCTTTCAAGTATTTACATGCTTCATAGTTGTCAATAATATTGCATTCATCTTGACTCTGGTGAATGAAGAAATGAAAGTGACAAACACCTCATGGACCCAACAAGTGTTTGTTTAAGGGAGCCATACTTTATAAGCAATATGTACTGATTTTTAACATTGAGCCTCAGGGAATAAATAGCCTCAAAAAGCCATGTTCACAATCTGAAACAGTACTGGAAAACAAAAGGTAGCAGAACAATGGAAATTATAAAACAAAAAATAGAACCATAAAATGCATATAGATGTTGCTGTTATCATTTTACTGATAAAGAGGTATTGGAATTAAAATGGAAAAGGAAAAGAAATATTGAAGCTGAGAGATTTTTCCCTACTAAAAGTGCAGAGCTGAGGCTGTTTTGGCAGACAGCCACTGACTAAAAGAAAACTGTTATTGTTTTACTTTCTAAAACTGGCTGAATAAGGAAAAAAATACTTCAAAATAGTGCTTTACTTAATTAAAATATGTTTCTGATAATAGAGATTATATATATATATATATATATATATATATATATATATATAGCCTTCCATTTTCTAAGCTCTGTGGGTTGGAGGAATCTTAAGCTATTTAACCACTGGGGCCTTTCAGGACACCCAAGGAAATAACACAGACTTTCTTTGCTATGGAAGAGCTAGCAGCTGTGTGCGATGAGTGATATTTTCTGTGAATGCTAATTTTAATAAGAGGTGCACTCGCTCACATCAGTCTTTGGGATCATTTCTGGCATACTGCCTATGAAAATGAGAAACATTACAAGGATATGCCCTGAAGCAAAAACATAAAATGGAATCAATAACATTCAAGTTGTCTTCATCACAAAATTTATTTTAATTGCCCTGCAATTCATTATTATTTGGAAGTCTGATTAGCCAAGTGTTTTGATGTTCTCAGAAGACATGTTGCCGTGACTCCCAGTATTTTGGTTCATGGTTATTATGGCTCAGAGACAAATGGGAAGGCTGGATTAATTCAAACAATTGCTTATGAGACATGCTGTGCCCCTTAGAGTTTTCCCCTACATCCCTATCCAACTAGCAGCATATCTTATGATGGAAACATCATTGCTCTGAAATGGAGCAATCTTTTTTGCCACTTTTCAGGGACCTACAAAACTGCCGTGTACTGAGACAGGCCACCAGTCCCCATCTACCTCAGCATTATCTACTGGCAGCAACTGTCCAGAGCTTCAGCCAAAGGTCTTCTCCAGCCCCACTTAAAGATGTCAGGGATTGAACCTGGCATAGAAAACGTGTCCTCTCCTAGTGAACTGTGGCCCCTTCAGTTAATTGCACGATGTCCTTACAATGGAGCAATAGTCCACCATGTCAATAGCTATCCCATTCTGCCATAGTAAATGTATAATTCCAAGATTTGATTACAGTTCACTTCTGTAGTCTGGAAGGCAGATGTGGCATTACAAAACATTTCGTATCACAACGTACGACTTGTATTTAAAATACACCAAAAGAAGAAGAAAAACCACACAGAAAACTGTGTCTGCAGAGAGGTAAATGTTTTCAGAAAAGCAGAAATGTGCATTATTTCCTCTGTCTAACCAGCGGCCCTTCAGATGCTGCTAGACTACAACACCCATCATCTCTGACCAGTGGTCATGCTGATTGTAGCCGACTGGAGTTTAGAGTCCAGTAATATATTGAGGGCTACGCATATCAGCCCACTGCTGTAGAAGAACAGAGGAAGCCCATCCAACCAAATTAAAACTTGAAGATGATCTCCTTGTTCTATTACTTAAATCCATTAACTTTAATTAATTGGGATGAAGCAAGTAGATATTCATAAATTAAATGGCCATAAATTTTAATCAATTTAAGATACCAATTAATGTATTGTTCTTATTTAGCTTCATGAACATTTAATTATGCTTATTGAAAAGTTTAAAAGACTTCCATTCTTTGCTGACTGCATACCAGGAGACACTCTTTCATAAAGTATTCATGCAGAACTTATTGCTATATTATTTGACCAAATCTTCCAGTTTTAATTATGATTCACACTTTTCATTTAAATACTTGTTTCTTGTACTAAGAAACTTTTAGAAAAGTTGCTAACTCAAGATTGCTTCAGGTTTCAGAAGCTGAGTGTAAATTGGTACAGGAGAATGTATGAAACACATAAGTGTTTCCTTTAAAATGAAAGATAGGAAACAGAATATTGTGTGTGTGTGTGTGTGTGTGTGTGTGTGTGCGCGCACACACACACACACACACACACACACTTTGGTCATATATACTGTGCAGGATTTTCCTCAGAGAAAAACACAATATTACATTTTTTAAAAAGTAAGCACAACCCATCCCTTATGTGCAGTGGAGTCTGGTCCATTAGTATGGATACGACACTGCCCCACCAACTACAGCTCTCAGCCACACCCCATCCACCTTCTTAATTACAACCAGACAAGAGGATGAAGCTGTCAGCCTCTTTAGTCTCAGCATTAGCCTTGTAGAACTCAGCAGGGAAGAGGATGAGGGCAAAGGGGCTCTGGCTCCACCTACTGTTGGCCTCCCTGCCTTCCAACCTACCAACCCCAATGGGTAGCAGCCACCACTGCTTATGTATATAGCTGTATAGCCTTTTATTGGCCATATGCTACTACAACTCCATGGAAGAGAGGCATTCTGTGTCACCCCGATGGTAGTAGTGGTGATGGTCTTACCAAACTGTGTTGAATCTTCAGAAAGAGTGACATGTGGAGGAGGCTGGGCAGGGATGAAATGTTTGGCAGTGCAGAAGCCACCCTACATCCTACAACCAGCAAGCCACCCAGAGAGCTGTTGGCGATGCACCAGGACAGCAGTATTCAGTCATTACATTTTCAAACAACACACGGCATATTGTTAGCACACAGTAAGAGCCAAATAAGTAAGAGTCCTAGATATTCTTACAGTAGAATTAAGTTGTAGTGGCTTGAGGCTCTCTTTGTACTACTATATCTGAAACTGCTAGGCAAATTTAGCACATGAAGGAATTAACTAACAATGTAAAAAAGTGGCAGATTAATTCTTAAGGTAATGTGTGCAGCATCAGTGGTGGGGGAGGTGATGAGGGGGAGAGCAAGATGACTTTTTGCTCAAATATCCAAATGCACAAAGAAATAATAAAAAAGGTGAAAGTAACTTGCTTTTGGATGGCACAGGTAAATTGGAGCGGACCACTTGTAGTGAGTCTGCTTGCACACGAAGTAAATAGCTTTTCACAGTTTCATAATCCAGTGGGTTTTTGACGGAGATGACACCTGTTCTGTTATTAATAGCAAACACATCTGGAATGCAGCAAAGAAAAGAAAAATTAGTGACATTTGTTCCCTCCCCTCTCCCTTAAAAGTACTTTTTATTCATGTATCGTACTAGACCACCTGGGACAGTATTACTTACCATCTTCATTTCCAGAAACAATGGAATAGATAATCGTCTGATTCAAAGCAGCAGCAGTTACAACAACAACGTGAGTTCCTTTGGGTGCACCTTCACTCACAGGAGGGGGCCTGCAAAATTGGGCAAAACAGATTGCTCTTTCTTATTGTCACGTTCTCAGTGCTCTACTGAAATAATATATACAAGATTTTTCTCCTTGTCTGGCAGACAAGAAGAACCTGGAAGCTATGTATGACTAGGATCATGTAATTCCAGCTGTTGCCTGACATGAAATAAGGAAAAAAAATAAGAATACAGAATAAAGCAACAATAATGGCTTGAATCAAACATTAGAACAGTGGCGTGATTGCTGCTTAAATTTGCTGCTACAAGTGAATATGTAAACATTTAATCCCTTTCCCACATGGGTCTGCCTGATTGCTTGTGGAAGGAATTCCAATATTCTCACAGCCATATAAGATCCCCTCAGCCTTATTGCAGAAAATGTTGGTGGGCAATCTATGCCATTGATTAAATGCTTTAAGCACATCTATGATTACTCCTGTCCTCTGCACAAAAGAGGCTGGATAAACTTGCCGAAAGAAGTAAGCTCAGGACTAAGGCTGAGCTGGAAAGAATAATGTAGTTGCTAGTTATTGTCTTTGCTGAAGAAAAAGGGCCATGCAATGGAGACGCACGCCCTGAGAAGCTTCTCTCTAAAATGTCTCTGCTGTCAAGCAGCCGTCACAAATAAATGTGCTTGGCAATAAAATGCTGTTCCCTGCACCTTTGAACATGAAGCCATTATTCAGTTAGATCAGTTTGAAAGGAAAGGAAAATGCTGAAATCAATTTTCCTTTCTCCACCATTTTGCAGGACATCGTAGGCCTAAGGGCTATATGAATCTTTTCAAATCAGGTCAAATATGAGCCTTGATCATTCTGTAAATGTCCATGGCAAGCATGGATGGATTATCCCATTGCCCTTGTTCGAGGCATCTTAGAACCGATTTTCATTTTACTTTTTATACTCAGATCGTACATCTGATGACAATATGTATGCATATCCATAATGTAGGGTGTGTGCATGCAAATATAAAATTAGAAACAATTATGGGAAAGACTGGATTTTTAAAAATAGACACACACCTAATTCTGCATGTATTTGTCTATGCAGGCTATATACAGGGAAACCTACATCTTCTGTATTTAGTTATCTATTCATACCAAAATAAAAAATATAAAGAGAGAATTGGCTCTAAGATAACTCCAGTACTCTAACTCAGCTTCAGTATGTTGGGATGAAATTTCACCGTATGCTGATATACTTGCACAGGAAGGATAGATAGAGAGGAACCTTCCTAGACTGTCTTTCTAGACTGAAGCTATTGATCTTCCCTTAGACCAATACTCTCAGAATTGTTGGCCTCATTTCCTTCTTCATCCTTTCCTTGGGAGAGGAGACAACTTTGTGTGTGTCTCTTGCTGAGATGAAAGAACATGCATGGCTCTTCACATCTCCACCTTAGTTAGAACTAGGCTCTTTGCTTTCAAGTATGTACTTCCTGCAATAAACACAGCCTTTTATTTTCTTAAGAGCAGAGTCTCCGTGTGATTATATCCAGGATAAAGTGTGCTCCTCCAGGGATCCATTCTGCTTCCGTAAGCATGTTAACACCAACTCAGTCATCCTTCCTCTGAATATTGCGCTTCTGCTGGTGTGTTTGCACCTTGCTAGCCTCTGCCTAATCCCCCTCTACCTCCTGGTAAGCAGGAGCCATGCAAAGCAAACAGAGGTCAAGTGAATAACCTGCAGTGTAACCTTTTTTCATAGGGTATTTGCTCTATCCCCATTGATTGACTGGGTTGCCCTTTTGTATCCTTGCTTGCCATGCACACAAATAATGTGTGAAAAGAGCTGCAGCCTTTGCTAGCAGTGCACCTAAAAAAGGTATTTAAAAAGTGAAATTTTCACATTTGAATTCCAGGTTGGAGTGACATGCTTTTCATTAAAGAACAGCAGAAATGTTTGCTACTTAATGCTTAGTAAGATATTTGGAAATGCAGAGCCACAGAATTATTTTGTGACTGATTTTCCCATATAAAAGCATTTGGGCTGCAGTTGGGTGCAGCCTGAAATCTGATAGCAGACACTATAGTGAAGTTATGGATGACAGGATAAGAATCATAAATTTAATTGTAATCCAACAGATTGAACTGGTTTTCAATTAAACTTTTTTCATTTATCTGGCTTCTGCATTGGTCTGCATGACACCAAAATTCAAGTAATGATAACAATACGTTATTGATGTAATTGGTGAGCAAGGTACATTTGACAAACTCAAATACAGTACAAACAATTTTCTACCTTGTTATTTTCAAGACCTGCAGGCTAGATTCCTTCCATGTCCACTTTTCTAAGATGAAGTTTTTAAAAATTCAAAATGGATTTTTGGGGAGTGCGTGTAAAAACCCTTCTTTTGATCCTAACCTGTTTTTAGCACTTTCTTTTTTTAGTAACATCTCTGTAACTCCTGTTCTGACATTGCCGAATTCTATGGATTGAGAAATCAATATCAATTAGGAAGGTGCTTTTGCATTCAATATGGAGAATTTGAAGGAAGTGAATAGAGAAACACCAAAATTCATGTACTTTGTAACCTTATAGTAATTGTGCCTTATCGATTTAACTTCCTTGAGTTAACTAATGCAATCAGGTTCAAAGAACAATACATCACTTCAATGAAAACATACTGTTAGTCCCTTAAGAAACTTTTGTCGAAACATATGGAACTGAATGGGTAAAAAGGATAAAAGCTAATATGTGGCTGTGTTTGTCCTGTGTACTTTAGCTCAAGTACTTTTCCTGTTTCTGTAAAGGTCAATTATTAAGCTGGAATCTTGCATTAATTGCACAGAGCGGCTCAATTTCTACAAAGGGGCAGTGGGCCTGTGCAGGTGGCCCTGCTCCTGAGGTTGCCCAGCTCCTCAGCATCGCTATGATGGGTCTACCCTCTTCTTCCCTGAGGGGAGGCGTTGTGAGCGGGTCTTGCTTCCCCCAGCCAAGCCGGCTGGCTAGGGGGCGTGGTTTGCTGCTCTTAAGCGAACACCGGACCGTGGCTCAGTCTGTTTGTTTCCTGCATGCATGGATCTCCTTTCCTCCCTCCCTCCCTCCCTCCCTCCCTCTATTCTTGTGCATTCAACACCTCTCCTTGCTATGGACCTCGGTTGGTCACCTGTTGAAGGGGCCTGGTAGAATTTTTTTCCACTTGGCAGATTGGCACCAGCCACTTGGTTTTTTTTTGCATACCTCGTAGCAAATCGCCACAACTTTGTAAGGTTTGGTGGTTAGGCATTGGAAAATGCATTGTGTGTTGGAGGGGAGGTTGTGGCCATCACCTACCCCTCCCCTTGAAGGGTATTCCGTTAAAGGAATCTGGTGGTCATGGTTCCTGTGCGAAGCCCAGGTGGTGGTTAGGGCCATGGCCCGACCCTCCGGGGACTCTAGGGGAGAATTTCTAGTTGATTTCCACCAACAGGTTCCCCCTACAGGTTGTTAATTCTTGTGTGACTTCCTGCAGGGTGGGCAGGCATCAAGTATAGTCTGTTCGGATCCAGTGCTTGGCCCTAAGCCAATACTACTCACATTCTATAACCAATAAAGTTGTGGCCATTTTTAGCCCATTAACCTAAAATACTGGTGTCCATGTGTCTTATTTCATCATAAAGTGGGGGACAGGGCCTCGACTCACAAACATGTCTTGGCCTTCTTAAGAATATATTTGCTTTTTTATATATATATAAAAAAGTGGTAGTAGTAATCTGTCTCCTTCAGTCATAGTCCCCTTCCAACCCCCCTAAGTATGAAGAAT